GCTGCACACCAACACGCTCCTTGGCCAACAAGTCAACCAAGAGAGGGCTGGGGGCGGTCTCACGGCCAGGCTGGAAAGCCAACTGGCTGTTCTTATACTTGACCACGCTGTCCAAGTAGATGTCGAAGAGGTAAGAGGAGTCCAAAGGACCACCCTTAGCCTCTGGGTGGAACTGGGTGCTGAAAATGGGACGGGTCTTGTGGATCATACCCTCATTGCTAGAGTCGTTCAGGTTGACAAAGTAGGGCTTCCAGTCAGAGGGAAGGGTATCGGCATCCACAGCGTAACCGTGGTTCTGACTGGTGATGTGGCAGCGGCCAGTGCTCAGATCCAGGGCAGGGATGTTGTGAGCACGGTTACCATACTTGAGCTTGACGGTCCGGGCACCGTTGGCCAAAGCCAGAAGCTGGTGGCCCAAGCAGATACCGAAAATGGGGACCTGGGAGGTCTCCATCAAGCGGCGAAGGTTGTAGACGGTGTCCTGGCAGTGAGTGGGGTCACCGGGACCGTTAGAGATAAAGACACCATCGAAGTGGTGGGCGACCTTGTGGATGGGGTAGTCGAAGGGGAAGACAGTGATGCTGGCTCCACGGCTGACCAGGCTCCGCAGGATGTTCTCCTTGACACCACAGTCGATGACAGCAACGTGGCATTGCGAGTTGGCGGCGCTGACGTGGAAGGGGGCCTTGGTGCTGACCTGGCGAACCAAGTGGATCTGCTCAGGGTCGACGAAGGCCTCGTCCTGATCGGCGTCATACTCCTCTCCGACGGTGATACGAGCGAGGGAGGAACCCTGCTCACGTAGGTAGGTGACAATGGCGCGAGTGTCGACACCCGAGATGGCGGGGACACCCTCGCGGGCACACCACTCGCCCAGACTCTGGACGGCAGTCCAGTGGCTGTACTGCTCGGCGACGTCGGCGACGACGACACCGGCGGCCTGGAGGTTGGGGGACTCGAAGTACTTGAGCAGACCGTGCTCATCCCGCTCAGCGGAGGGGACACCGTAGTTACCGATCAAGGGCTGGGTGAAGACCAAGATCTGACCACGGTAGGAGGGGTCGGTCAAGGACTCGGGGTATCCGACGAGGGAGGTGGTGAAGACGGCTTCACCCGAGATGTTGGAGCGGGCTCCGAAGGACTTGCCGTGGAAGATCGGACCATCTCGGATCGTGAAAGTAGCGCGTTCAGTGGCGGGACGTCCTTGACGAACGGTGGCCATGAAGCGGGACTGGACGGAGGCATTCACGGAAGGGAAGGCCTGGGCCCGGGCGGGCATGGCCTTGAAGAGTCGAGCGAACATGATTTGATATGATTTGGATGTGACGGGAAGTGAAGAAGTGGCAGGTATGTGTGGTGGCTATTCAAAAGTTTCCAGAAGCTTTCCAGAGGTGATCCGAGATGTAGTCCTGTTGGGGTCGAGGTTAGATTCTTGATGCTTGAGTTCATAGTGACGGTAGTGGTGGCGGGGCATAGCATGCATGCATAACATACCTGAGAGGTGAAGACGGAAGGTGCCAAACGCATAAGCGCGACGGTGCTGTTACCAGTCTTTATTTAAAATTGAAGTAAAAGATGAGTCTGATTAGACAGACATTGAAGGGTGTAGATGCACGGAGATATAGGATGGGATGGATGAGATGGGGAGGATTGAGTGAGTCAGAGACAAGGAGAGAGGGAGAAAGAAGGAAGGGAGCGAAGGGGAAGGCATTAAAAGAAAGAAGAGCGACCGCCGGCCCGGTCGGGGGTGGGTACGTCACGTGCCTTCCCTTTTCCTTTTCTTTTCCCTTTCCCCGCCAATCGGAAGCGGGCTATTGCCTCCCGCTATCGGACTGATGATTTTTTTTCGAAGGTTTTCTTGGGCCAGGATTTATCACGGCTGTTATTCACCGTGAATAATTATAATTGCCTCCGATGGTATCTCTACTTCTACGGCAGACTCCCCTCCGTCCCTGAGCCGTGCGTCCGTGACTCACGACGAACCGTACCGTACCGTAGTGTAGGCATTTGAGTCGCTATTGATGTAACTCCTCCACTGCAGAATGGGTCTATTGCTGCTGCGCTCCATTCATTACCTAACATCTTGCCTCCCCAACAGCCATCTGGGGATATCCTTGACTAATATCATCCTTTACCCCAGAAGCCATCAATGGCCCTGATAAGACAAATGACACACTGATTAATGCCCCCGGGTGTGCGTTGAGTGTATACGTCGTAGACTTCAGGATGGATATGTACGGAGTACTGTATGGGTATAATTCATGCTGCAAAAGCACAGGATCCTAGCCCTCGGAATATCGACTGGATGGACAGTAAGTTATCGCCTCCAGAAGCACCAGACCCACCAGTTGGGTGGAATGAATGGCTGGGAGCAGGGGCTTCCGGATGCAGGCTGGATCTCCGATGATCTTGCCCGAATCGCTGCTGTCCACACATGCAGGGGATCCTCAACAATTCGATAGATCACATCCTTGATATCAACTCGACTTCTTCACCGCAGTTGTCAACTGCAGTCAACTGCAATGCAAGTTGGCAAACTTTTTCCCATGCGAAACTTCGACCTCAATCAATTCCAGGGTCTGTTGGTTCAATTGGCCAGGAGAGGATGCTTTTCCTCACCGATGATAGAAGTCACACAATTCTGTCTGTTGTCAACTTGTCGTAAATGCAGGCAAAAAACTTGTCGTAAATGCAGGCAATAATGGGGCAGACGACAGGCCCAGCATGTCCATGAGGATGTGAACTTCCCTCAGCATAATCCTCAGGCGTTATCTTGCCCACTGTAGCCAAGAAGTTAAGACTGTTAAGATAGAGATAGAGAAGGTTTATGCGGCAGCACAATGCAGCCACGAATCACACAGCTGACTCAGCGATGCAAGACCACCACCACCACCACAACAACATCACATGTTCTTCTCCTCGTGTAGTTCGACGATTCGCTTGGACCCCTCCAAATCAACTCCGAAACAACGCCAGTCCTCCCATTACTGACTGTACAAGCACAACATCTCCGAGTGATCCGGTAACCACATCAAGCCGGCTGAAATATGCACTATCCAGACACCCGTCATGACCGAACCCCCCAGAAAGCGCTCGCGAGTGGCCTGCACCTCGTGCCAATCGCGCAAGCGCAAATGCACCGGGGACCAGCCCTGTTCAACCTGCGTTCAATTCGGGGTAGATTGCCACTATGACCTGGAGTCGCGCAAGAAGCGAGACGTGCGGCTGTTCCAGTTGCAGTCCACCCCGTTCCTGGGGGGACTTCCCAGCCTCACGCCGGATGGGTTAGGTGGTAGCCTTGCCGCCAGCAGCCGGTCAGCGGAATCATCCTCCAAACCCTCGCCCGATGAGACCGCAGCGCGGCTCAACTCGCTGGACGCCAACTCCGGCGCCGCGTTCGCCAGACGCCTCGGCCTCAAGATCGACCCGACCAACGCGCCCAAACTGCATCTCTTCGCCTGGAACATGGGCGCCCGGCACCCTTCCCCATCCCCGGCCGCAACCATGCCTGCTGCCGCTGCATCATTCTCCGCCGTCAAGGCCCTGCCCATCGTGGATCAGATCTCGCAAGATGAGATGCGCGCGCTGGTGGCCGTGTTCTTCGAGAAGGTCGACCCGTGCTACAGCTTCATCGAGCGCGACGACCTGCTGCGCAACCTGAGCCGACGGTGGCTCCCGGCGACGGCCGAGTCCGCCCTCGCCTACGGCGCCTTCGACGCGGTCCTGTGCGGCGTCGGGGCGTTTGGTTGCCTGTTCTCACAGCGGACGGCCACTCCGGCGGAGCTGCAACTGGCGGAGAGCGCCCGGACGATGCTGGAGCAGCATATGGTGTCCGATGCGCCGCCGTCCGTGGAGCTGGTGACCGCCTGGGTGCTACGTGTAGCCTACCTTCGCATGACCGCCACGCCGAACGCAGCCTGGATGGCCAGTTGTTCGCTGATGCACCTCATCGAAGCGACAGGCTTGCACCTCGAACTCCCCGGTGGCGGCGGCGACACGACCACCACTGCCCTTAGCCAACCTGTGGAACCGTGCGACCCGGAACTGCGCCGCCGGCTCTTCGGCATGGCCCGCCATCTGAACGTGTGGATATCGTTCGAGCTCGCCCGCTCGCGCGTGGTCCTGCACGGCGCCACCTCGCTGCCGCCGACGCCCCGCTCGCCGAGCCATCCGACGGAGATCTTCGGCCTGCTTCCGATGTCTGAGAGCCTCGACCCCAATAAGACGCAAGACGCGCCCGCCCTGGAATCCGCGCTGACGGACGTCCTCAACCTGGTGCTCACCCAGCCCCCGCTGATTCTGGTCCAATGTAATCTGATGCTCTGCGTCTACCGCCGCCTCCGAGCCCTGAACTGCATCATATCCGGGGCACTGCTCGATCGGGTCCTGGCCCTCGCGGAGAAGGGCCTCCGCGCAGCACGCGAGATGGTGGCGTCGAACTGTCCCTGGCACCAGGCCGCCAACGTGCCGTTCCAGGTCGTGTGTACGCTGCTGGCTATTGACAACCGGGCGGCGCTGATGATGCTGAGCGACGCCATGTCCACCCTCCGCGAGGTCGTGGCGGCGTACGACACCGAGGTCATGCGGGAGGCCTACAGTACGGCGTACCTGCTCATGCTCCTGCACCAGCGGCAGAAGGAGGAGGACACCAAAGTGCTCAAGGATGTGTTGCACGTGCACTCGGCTGCCTCGACGTCGCAGATCGAGGCGGGACAGACTGCGTCGACTACGGAGCCGCACCACTCGCTGGCCGACTATCCAGGGTTCTCCTGGCTGAGTGATCTACTAGTTGACATGCCTAGTCTCCAGCACTTCGACATGGAACGGTTCATGTACACCGACATGCCGGGGCCCTTGGCGGAGACTCCCGGGGCCGGGTCGGTTTCTACCAGCTGAATTCCGGACGGAGAATCAAAGCGATCAGATTGAGAACGATGATGGATATACAACCGGTTATAATCTCTCGAAAGAGCGCTGGGGTTTCCTGCAAGGCAAACGAATCACTGGGACTTCTTCTGGCTCTCTACCCTTGTGCGGGCGCCAGAGCTCCGCATCACGGCGCCGAGTTTCCACAGCACCCAAAGCGAACCCAGGACAATGGCGATTACTGTGCCAAATTCAATGGTCCTGCTGTTGAAGAGGCCGTTCTCCTTCAGCACGGGCACGCTGATCTCCTCAACCAGCCGACCCTGTTCTGCAGCTGGATTCACCTGGTAGAATATGGTCTGGGGCGCAAAAAGCCTCTCCCATCCGAGGTTCACACGGTCGAAGGGGTTGAAATGCATCTTGGACTCTTCACTGGCGGCACACGCCCAGAACACCACCGGCCAGGGGACCTCTACCGAGCGATAACCACTTTCCGACGGGGCCAAGTAACGCAAATGAAGCGGAATGGTCACGTTCCATTTTTCGGGAGACTGATCCTCAGGGGGCGTAGCGACCTCGAGCAGCCAATTCGAACCCCACTGAGACACAGACCAGTCCGGCGCCTCGAGGTCCGTCTCGCCCGTCACGGAATGCAACTTGACCAGGTGGTGCGAATCCAAGAACAGCAGATCCTCGGTGCCCAGCTGGTACTTGTCGCCGAAGAGGTAGGACGGCAGCGTGAGATACGTATGCAGGGCACAGGTTGCGTCCGGGGGTTGCAGCGCGGCGGGCGATAGGGAAATGGTCATAGTAGGATGTAAGCCCGTGGGCAAAGGGAAGCCCACCGAAAAGACGGCATCACGAGGGAGGGCATGGTGCCTGGAAGCGAAGGAAAACAACGTCGGCTCTAGAATCGGGGGGGGCACACTAGTCAGCTGTTGTGGCGCTTTCTCTCTGCGTGTATGTTTGAAGACAAAACAAACATACTCAACTTCTCATCCTCTCCAACCACCCCCAACAGCCCACCCATCTTGATCTCCTCAGGGTCCGCCGTCCTCTCCGCCCCCAGCAACCCAACCTCCATCTTCCCTTTGGACCCAGCAGCCGGAGCATGGAGATCCTCCGTCCACCCCTCGCCCCCCGGCGCATCCGCCCAGAACGCGGACACCACCAAATTGCGCGATTCAGCGTCGTAGGCGAGATCCACCGAGTCCGCAGCGAGCAACTCCCGGGCCTGTCGACGACACCGCTCCGCCTCAGCCCCAGCCCCCTCCTTCCCTGCCACTGTACAAACCTTCTCCCGAACGAAACCCACCAACCCCTCCAACGACGCCAAAGGCGAATAGAACTGGTACTCAGAGGATGCACTGGACCGAGTGAAAGATTTCTAGCCAACAGTCAAAAAGCCACCCAAGAAAAGATTTAGCCTCCCTCCATGCCGTATAGCCCAACCACCCACGAATCCTGTAAGAGATAATTGGGAAAAAACACACACCTCATAATCCCGACACTTCTTAACCTCCTCCGAGCCAAACACACTCCTCAAAACCCGACACACCGCATCGCTGGCGCCCCAAACCCAACCCCAAACCCATTAGCGTAAGCTCCGTAGCATCCCCAACCCCAACCCCGAGAGATAAAACACAGCAAAAGTTTTAAAGACTCACCTCCTCCCCCCTCCTTCCTCCCCCTCAGCACCCTTCTGCCCCGGAACCCTCCCCGGCCTCAAAAAAACATGCAACCCCCCGGAAACCCGACTGGCGAAGGGCGTGACAGCGCCCCCCGCGCCAGCAGCAGCATCCCCCGAAGCCCACCGCACACTCAACCGCTCCACACCACTGCCCAAAAGCTCCCGGACCTGATCCTTCCACAGAGACACATTACCAGATATTCAAGATAACCGATCGACAGGGGAACGTACCTCGGCATCCCACCCCTCAGCACCACCACCACCCAACAACTCCTCAACAGACACGGTCCACCGTTCTTGCTTCGCGCTGTGTAAATTCCGGATCTCCAGAGCCTGGGGGAGGAGACGGGCTTGGGAGGGGTCGAAGGGGGTGGCGGGGTCTTGGAGGTAGGTTGTTCTGCGTTTGATGGGGGGGGTCATCCTTCGGATTGGTTGGTATTGGGTGTTGATGGGTGGGAGGATGGAGTTTATTAAATTAGTTTGGCTGAGGGTAGATGAGTAGTGATAAGAGCGAGTTGGTTGGAGATAGGTGCTGGATAGATTGATGATCAAAGGTGATGTGGAGAAGCTGATGAGATGGAGATGGAGATGGAGATGGGAGCTTGAGCTTAAGCTAAGCTAGCTTGGGTGTTGACGTTGGGGTTGGCGGTCTGCTGGCCTGGGGATTGGTCGCGTGGTTTATCTTATCGGGTGTTATCGTTACCGTAGGTTATCGATAACGATAAGGACGTATTGTAGCTAGAGCTCTCACTGGACTACAGACAGAGTACTGTACTCTACGTCTACCGCGTTAGTAGTTACCAGTGACTCATGTCGATTACCCTACTACCTACTATAGTCGAGCCAACTTAATATTACTTTTATTCGAAGTATATTCGAATCTAAACTATCCTCCCGTCATCAATCATCATCGTTCCATCATCCTCAGCGATCCAGCCGCTTACGCCCAAACGCCAACTATGCTAATCCGATCCCTGGTAATTAGAAACACATCAAAAGCAGTAACAATACTACGATGGGAATATTGCACGAATTGCACCAAATCAATCAAGGAAGAACGTCCCGCAGCACCTCCTTCTGGGCCGCAGTCAGGCTAGCGGGGAACCGCACATTGACCCGAATGATCAGGTCACCCCGCTCGCTCGGTTTCTTCGAAACGGTCATACCCAGGCCCGGATATCGTTCCTCGTATCCCGGCTGCGTAGGTCCCGGCTTGGAAACCTTGATGGACTTGCCGTCGATCGTGCGGACAATACGTTCCCAGCCGGTGAGGGCCTCTTTCAGACTTAATTCAACCGTTGTGATGAGGTGGTCGCCTTGGCGTTTGAAGTTGGGATGTTCTTTCTGCAGAGACCGTTAGTAAATCACCACCAAGATCCGTAGGACAGGGCAAGAAACCTACCTCAGTGACAATCAGATGCACATCCTGTTTCCCACCCTCTTCCTGGTCTCCCACGCCACGGTACTTGAGCTTCGATCCCGTGCGTAGACCAGGCTTGATCTTCGCTTCCAGCGTGACATCCTGCACACTGCGTTTGCCGGTCGCCGGGTCAAAGGTCTTGCTCTTGACCGTCACCTTCTTCGTCACACCCTTCATGATCTCCTCCAGCGTCAGCGGCAGCTCCTTCTCCATGACGGTGGGCTCCGGCGTCGGGGCACGCGCAGACTGCTTGAACCCGGCCGACCCGCGGTTGGTCCGGAACCCCCGACCACCACCTAAGCCGCCACCGAGCATCGAAAAGAGGTCGTCTTCATCCATGCCGCCGCCGCCGGCCATACCTCCCATGCCACCGCTGGCTTTGGCGAAGTTCCGGAAGATGTCATCCGCATTGCTGAACCGGAATCCGCTGCTTCCACCGGGTCCAGTCGAGAAGTGGAACGTACGGGTACCGCCTCCTCCGCCTCCAGGCATGCCACCGAACGAGAAACCGCCGGGCATCCCTCCGGCGAAGGGGTTGGCACCGCCATCGGCATCGCCACTCGTCGGGGGCGGGCCACCCCGCATGAGGTATTCCAGACCGAATTGATCGTAGACTTTGCGTTTCTCGGGGTCAGAAAGAACTTCATATGCTTGTGAGACCTCTGTCAATAGTCTAGGTTAGCTGTGCACTGGACAAATCAGAACAGAAAAGATGTGAAGCATACCTTTGAACTTCTCCGACGCAGCCGGGTTGTCCTTGTTCTTATCCGGGTGGTACTTCAAGGCAGCCTTGCGATAGGCCTTCTTGATTTCATCTTGTGAAGCATCTGGTTTGATTGATAGGGCGTCGTAAAGCTTTGTTTCAGCCACCATTGTGGAGTGTTTGTGTGTTGTTGATGGTGTGGTTGTTGACGAACGAAAAGATGGAAATGCAGGTCAAATGTGTAAACGAAAGGTTTCGCAGGTGTTGTCAGGTACTGAAGAACGCTAATTGGAGCAACTCGATGCCTCCAATATAAGCAATCGACGAGGAGGGAAGATCACACCACCGGTCAGGGTGTGCGTCAGGGGAATGATGGCAGGTCGAAACCGGGCGGGGAAGGAAGTACGATCTCGAATGACGTAGAAGATTCACAGGGTCACACTACCCACTGACCACCACCGTCTAGAGTGAGGTAGCGCGGAACTTTCGGGAGTAGTGAGATAAGGAAGATGCAGGGGGGGGGAAGAAGCGGAAAAGCGAGTGATCGGGATGATGATTTCGTGTTCAGGACAGTAGACGAAAGCCAGTTGTGTCGTTGGGTAGGAGGGGGACAAAGGGTGGAAGTCTTATGCAGTAGTGTTGGCGGAGGTGAGCCCTGCGGTGACGTGTGACGCTGTCTCCCCGCTGGCCGGGCCAAGAGAAGGTTCGAGAAGGTTCGATTTCCCAAGCATTGACAAGGGCAAAGAGGCTGGATACTGAAATTCGGGGCTAGGGATCGCAAGGCTAGCAACAAGCAAATTGTCGATCCTAGCTGAATGGTGGTTCCAGACAACTCTAGCTGTCAAGGGAGGTAAAAATTGGAGATTGAGGCGAGAAAGAGGAAAGTTGATCCATCTGGACTTCAGCCCAAGTATAGAAAGTGTCCCGTCAGCTGGCGACCTACCTGTTCGGGCTAGTGCGGGGAACGGGCAGCTGGTGATCCACTCAGGGCTACCTTTATGTGTACATAAGATTGAAGTTTGGGTGCAGTCATTAAGTTCCATATAATCTGACTACGTTCAGTCTGCTAATACTGAGTAGTTATTAGGTAGATATTCGACGGTCTTCAAGAAACCATACTCTGGACTGACTACCTTGTTTCATGCCACAAATACCCGCCAATTCGCTGATATCCCCTCGAATCACTTCCTCCCCACCACCAGGTAGTCCTTGATCACCGCGGATCCATTAACCACGCTCTCAATCTGCTCTTCCGTACAGGTCTCCTGCAAAGCCAGCACGTAGCACACGGGCTCCGGGATCTTGGGCGCCACATTCTTGATACTCCACGTCGACTCCGGTCCCTGGCTCTGGTAGCCCGGGTTCTTCACCGTGGAGATCTTCCCCGTCGCCAGATCCCGATTGAACAGCGCCCGGTGGAAGATCTCATACGCCGTCTGGGGCTGGTAGGCGGGGACCTCGTGGCCCGCCTGATAGACCCGCGTGTACGAAAAGTTCCCCGACTGGCGCACCATGCCACCCACGTACGAGGAGTTCGTCCGCAACTCCGCATAGCCCGCGGACCGGAACTGCGCCGCCCCGGCGTACTCGACCAGCTTGCTGACGGCCTCGCCGCCGGTCCAGGGGCAGGCAAAATCCCGGTCCCCGTAGACCAGGGCCACCTTGACGCCGGAGTCCAGCACGTAGCCGAGATCCTCGATCAGGCCGCGGCGGTCCGAGCGCGGGTAGTCGCCCGTCGACCGGAAGGCCTCCCAGATGCTCTCCGCCGAGCGGGTATAGTTGACCGGCACCCCCAGCGCGGCCTGCACCCAGTGCTGGTTCAGGTACCCGATGAAATACGGCTCCGGGAAGGGGTCCTGGGCCGAATGCGCAAAGTCGTAGTAGCCGCGGTCGGAGTATTTCTTGAAGACGCCCTTGACTTCATCGATGCAGTAGGCGTCCGCATCCTGGCAGACCCGGTTGACGGTCTGGTTGTTGCCGTGCATCTCCGGATCCCCCTCGGCGCCTACCGCACGGCACTCGATAATCTTGTCCTTGCAACCGCCCGGTCCACTCCAGGCCTGCATGGCAGCCTCGTAGATGGTCTGGTTGAGTGCTTGGATGCCGTACGTGTTGTTGTAGGCGATTTCGGGGAAGCTCGGCGCTTGGACAAGCAGGTCGATGCAGCCGTTGATGATGCCAAGAGTGTCGAGGTGGATTGGATGGCCGGACAGGGTGTTGTTGGCGATTCGGTTATTCTGATCTTGGAAGAACGCTGCAAAGGCCGGGCCGTAGCGTCCTCCATATGACTCGGTCCAGATGCTGACGCGGTCATCATGGGGCTTGTACTCGGGGAATTCCGAGAACCAAGTCTGGGCAAATACCCACAGGGAGCGGGCGGCATTCACAGTCCCATTAATCGTGGTCTGATTGTTCATGCTGGGGAACGTGCCGACGTAAAAGGTATTATTCTGCTCCGGGATGCCAGCCTCCAAACCAGAGATATCCCAGTCACCGGTGAGGGCATCGAAGGTGCCATTGACGGCCACATCATAGCTAAACCCGGTATGAACCGGCTGGTCGATGTAGAGCATGTTGGCATAGTTGTTCCATGACCAAGGGTTGATCTCCGTAGAATTGGAATCCTTGTTGACAACACACGGCCCGTTCTCCTGCAGTAACCCAATGATGGACGACCCGCCAGGACCGCCGTTCATCCAAATCGAGAGAGGCGCGTTGGCAGGGTTGTTCCGCGATTCGAAGAACCAGAAGTAGGTGTTAATGGGGTATTGTTGGTCCACCCCTAGCTCATTGAGGGTGCCCGGGGGAAGGTGAACATAGCCGGAGTACGATTTGACCCCAGGCGTAGTTTCACAGATTCCAGGCTGGCAAACAGGTTAGCACGTGGCTTGACGCTCACCTTGCGTTTGACTGGGAGCATACATCTTTGTAGGAGATTTGAACACCTTCATATTGCTTTGAATCGATGACCGTGACGCCTTCAGGCTTAGGAGGGAAGAACTGGCCGGCTGCAGCACAGATGAGGGCGGAGCCCACCACCACAGCACGAAGAGAAGGCATTGGGAGCCGCTAGGGAGTTTGGGGGGGAGCAGAAGGTCCAATTGACCAGCAGGCAGCTCCTTATAAGGGTCCATGGGGATGGTGCAATTTTTAGCTCCAAATCAATAGATTGATGGTTGATTACTGGGTACTTTGGCTGCAGTGCTTAACCAAATCAAGTGAGAGATAAGACCGGTTTAGTGTTGCCTGTAATCCTGCAGTGCCAGTAAGTGGCGGTCGGATCTCTCCGCCGTCAGC